GGCCCCGGCCCCGGCCCCGCTCAGCTCCCTGGCGGGGGCTCTGACAGCGCCCGCCATCGGCGCCTCAGTGACGCTTCTCAGCGCGGGGACGAGATGCCTCGGAAAGAGGGCCGCTCGCCGCAGGCCGCCAGACGACGAGAGTTCTCCCCGCGCTTCCCTTCCCGCTGCGTGAAGGCGAGACCCCGCTCCGTGTATCCCCGCGCTTACAGCTCCTGTTCGTTAGATACAGAGTGAGTGATTCAGTCACGCGTGACTTTTGGGGAGGTCTGAGAGGAAGGGAGGGAAAAGCACTCGCTCTTCCAGCCAAACGATAGGCAGATTTAAATCTTTAGGACAGCAGATAGACACCATCTTTTATTCTTCTGCCCCCTCTTCCCAGGCTTGGCCTTTCTGTCCCTCCCTTTCCTGTGCTACAGCTGGCACGATTGTCAGCTGGAAACCTAGCGCGTGATTAGCAACCATCTGGTGCCAGACACGTGGAGTTTTAAAAGGTATCTTGCAAGGGATTGCCTTAGTCTTCAACAGGAAGGGATTTTATTCCTTCTCCCTACAGGCTAGTCACCTTTTCCCCCACACCCTCCCCTCTCTGCACCTTTTTTCTCCTTAAAAGCACACATGCTCGGTTGTTTGCAAAAAAGACTGCAGAGCGTCTGTACCGCTACAGGTTCAGAGGAAAAAAAAAAGGCGGAAAGGTGAAGCACTAGTTGATGGTCTCCTTTACAATTTCAGTCCTTTTATTGGGGAGACTGTGATATTGCCTTCCCTTATCTCTAATAGGATCTCTCCCAGCAGCAGGTCAGCACAGGAAGGGGAGACAGGTCCCTGGACAAGGGAGAAAATAAAGCCTAATTCCTATCCTTCCCCTTCCCTCCCTGGCAGCATAAAGATTTCAGCAGAAACCGAAAACTGCCTCGCTAAAGCAGCAACAGGTTAAGTAACACTCAAATAGCAGCATCTGACTTAAATTGATTAACGTTAGGAAAGACATTAAGACTAGTTCTAGTAAACGAAAGAAACATTGTGCTCCTTACTAGAGACAGCTAACTTTTAAACCTAATATTGTTCAGGTAATAATGAAAATCATCAGTATTCTGTTTTGAGATGCTACCATTAACCTTTAGTAAATGCAACCATTCAAGAGTAAGGTAATGCTGCCAAAAAAACAACCAAAACAAAAAAACACCGCAACACGCACACCAGAAGGCAGAATTTCAGAATGCAGCCTAAGACTCACCATTAATCAAAAGAAGAGAACAAGTCACTTCATTTATATGCCTTTAAAGTCTAGAGTCATCTTCTGAAAACCGAGTATTCTGTTTGGAGTCAGCTTTTAACTGAGAGGAAAGCTAAGGTTGACTAAAATTTTTAAAGCCTCACATGGGAAGGTGGTATTTAACTTTTTAAAAGAAATACTGTGAAGATAACATGGCTTTCTGAAATTTGCTTAACCGTATAGGCCTTTAGACTTTTGCTGAAGCGTCTCATCCTCCAACAGAAACAACAGTGTTACAGTTTGACCTTTTTTCATTTTATTAGCACAAAATCATGTAGAGAGTGAAGACAAAGAGAGGAACATACATGTGTACTTAGAACATGGAAAATTCACTGCACAAATGGGAATGATTTCTTCCTTCCTGTGATCTTGCCAATTACTTCTCCTCTCACCTTGAGTACTAGAACACTGTGACAGAGCTTGCAAGCTACAAAACCCAATCTTACAAGCCTGCAGCGCTTCCTTAAAAAAACCCTGCAGTTCCATTACCAAAAAGGGGCTCAGCCTAGGTTCAGAACTACAACTGCTATTAAGAGAACTGAACTAGAGCAGTTGAATTCCCAAGTCTCACGCTGACTGTGGTAACTTTTGGAGCAGATCCTTTATGTATTTAGTATCATACAACATCTTTAAAACAGAGGAAAAACATTTACACAGTATGTGCATACACCTTAATGTTAATGCATGTATACTCATTTTTACATAGTTCAATGAAAATCCATTCTATAAGCACAAAAGCAATCCTGTGGTTATTTCTGACCACATAAATACATCAGTTGCAGAGATCGCTTACAGTTACAGATCTTCTTGCAGAAACTTTTATAGTGGCACTTGTATAGTCAGTTGGTCCAGTGGCTTCGCAACACCTATACACACATAGGGACAGGTAAAAAGAGGCAAGATCTTTATGGGCCAGCAGCTGAGCTTACTGCATAGCAAGGCTGATGTACAGTATGACATCTGCAGTAATAATACCAATAAATTAGATTAAAACAATTCAGATATACTTCCCATAGTATGAAAGGCAGCATTCACAAAATCGGAAAAAACACTATTCTATTCAGATTGCATGGCGACAAACAAGAAGGTGTTTGCCACAGTACAGAATCAACGCACTTTCAATGTCCAGTATTATTAGTAGGTTGTGGCACACTGATATTTAATTGCCATGCAAGGGTAACACCCTCAGACATTTTCCTAGGAATTGTCTTGATTATCAGTCAGAGGGTAGAGAGAGCTCCATCATCAAGAGTCAGTAACTGTCATTTCTTTGCTTGGGAATAGCTGAAAGTGGTTGCTTTATTCCAACTGATGGCAGACATTCCAGTTTAGTTAGCCACGCAGTTGTTTTGTGAATAGGATTAATCACACAGATTTATGACATCCATGTTTTTGCAAAAGAGAGCAGGTAGTTTATTTCTGGTTTTCATACTTCCCTTCCATCAAAGGGGGCATACCGAGAAGTGTGGTCTGAAAGCAAAGTATCACTATCTCTTAAAATGAAACTCCGGGTCAGCTCTCCAAACAACCATAGAATCACTACAACAGAGCTCTACCTTGCCTCCACTTAACAGGTACAGAATTCACAATAATACTCTGAGCACACCGGTGAGAGCAAGAACTACGTTATGGAATGATTTGTGAGACCATCCTCACCAAATAAAAAGCCTGAGTTTCACATGCCTGAATAATACCACCACTTTTTTTTTTCATGACAAAAGGGTCAACTTAAGCAAAAGTGGATATTCTACAGATTAATTAAAAAAAAAAAAAAAAAAAAGGGGACCAATTATTTTTTCAGTGTTTCATGCAAAACCAACGTGAGAGCAAGAACTACGTTATGGAATGATTTGTGAGACCATCCTCACCAAATAAAAAGCCTGAGTTTCACATGCCTGAATAATACCACCACTTTTTTTTTTCATGACAAAAGGGTCAACTTAAGCAAAAGTGGATATTCTACAGATTAATTAAAAAAAAAAAAAAAAAAAGGTGAGCAAGTGACTATTCAGTGTTTCATGCAAAACTCAACTCAATCATTCGTAAGTTTTGACCGGGCAACCAGTCAGAGACAGACTGTTAAAATAAGACTCCAAACTGAAAAACCACTGCACTTGCAATAAAGCTGGTTTCAAACTGGCATTTCTAACTCCACTGGCCTCAAAGTATTTTTTTTTTACAGTAGTTTCAGTTGTCCAACATGAGTTACAAGTTGCTGTTCCACAGTTAGCGCCACTCTTCTCCTGTGAAACATACTTCAGGCTTTCAGACTATTCTTCTCTTGTTCCACAAAACTTTGGAGTGAAGAGCTGACAAGTCTATCCAACGGCTTTAGTTTTCCTCTAGACTGCATTCCTAGGTGTGCCATTGTGAGTCACTGCTTTCATATTTGAGGCGCTTGATTGATGGTTGCAGATTCTGTGGGAGGCAACACCTACTTCAAAGACTTCATGAATGGCTTTGCGGAAGCAATGAAAATTGTAGTCTATCAGACCTGTCAAGGAGGGGGAAGGGAGAAGAAAAACTGTGCTCAGCCTGGCACATTTACATAATCAACAGAACTTCAAAATAAATATAAAATGTTTCATTTAACCAACAGCTATTTTGCTACTTAATTTAGTATGAATTTGGATTCAGAAGATTTAACAAAGTTTTACTGATGCCAGTATTTATTTAGACTGTCTCGGTTTGTAGAAAAAAAAAAAGTACTCATTTGGAGTGCGAGATGTATATTCATAATTAAACAGCAGGTGAGGGGACAACACAAGACTTTACCCCCAAAAAACATGCTAGTACAGCATCACTTGAACGTTATCTTGAACTTTGTCATTCATATATATATCATAACTGTGGTGCGAAACTTTTGAGATCAAATACAGTACAGTTATTAAAAGAACACATGTGCTTTTTCTCTTTTTAGAATGCCAAGGTAAGTACGGTCCCCATGTAAGTCAAATACTTTGACATTAGGGCCTACACTGTCATTTCTACCCCATAACATATGCAAGACCATTCATACCGTCATCTCCTACAGGTCCAAGCAACTATATAGTTGGTTAGACCTGCAATGTATTAAACACTTTGTTCTAAGTTCCTACCACATACTGTACTAGCCTACTGCTGTTGATTTCTTCAGTCATACATTAAAAAAATTACATCAACGCAACACATGATAGAGAATATGGCTATTCACGATACAGCAGCTGTCAAGCAGAACATAAGTATTACTCCATTCTATTGATTCCACTATAGCAGATGGTAGTGACACAGGCCACATTAGCTACACAAGTCATTTCAGGAGGAGGACAGCGACTAAAGCAATGAACCACAAGGATAAAAATAAGACCTCTTTATACCTATCTCTACGAAAGGAGAAAATTCCTCCCACAAGAAATTAAACAAATTTAGTTACACAAATATCAAGGTGACTTGTAAAGTCATATTAATATTTTATAGTTGATAAAACATTAGATAAAAGCCGTTCAATGGGGAGGAAGTCCTTACCTTTGCGCTCAAAACTCTCTTCTCTAAGAATGCAAACTAATGCCAAAAACTTTGTTACTTCCTTTAAGTACAGGACCGTTGTGTTATTGAGCTTGATAATTGCCATTGACTCTTTATCATAAGCACTTCCAGTGCCATCTTCCTTTAACCTAAGAAAGAACGAGTTAACCCAAGACATAATCTAGTAGACATGCATATGTAACTTCAAGACAAATACCTGTTAAATGCAGTTAGAAGAATATCACTCATACTGAACAGTGAGCAAGTGAAGAACCTGCAGTGCAGGTCTTAATACTATCGTAAGTAAGACCATTATCACACCTTAAGTTTCTCAGAAAAGCTAGACCTAAACAGAGTAGAGGGCTTCACTAGATACTATCCATCTTAGATGAGCAGTTAAGAGCAAGCTATTAGCATGCATTCTTTTGATATCAAACTAAGAGCTGTGACTGTTTAGTCAATACTGTTTTCAGCTTACAGCTGAGCATTCTTAATGGAGGTAGTATAGTACATTAGTTATAGCGCAGTTTACCTTCAAACCAAAGAGTCACTGCTACTCACTGTTTCACTGAGTTTACAGTGCCACAGTAAGGTATCAAGTGATTGGTTTGAAGATTCTAATGCAGGACTTCTGTGTAGAAACATCAATGGAGTGACATCTCAGCAAAATTACTTTTGGTAAATTAATACAAAGGCTTCCTTAGTGAGGGCGGTGGCGGGAAGGGGTGTGCAACAGGGAGCAGGACACTTTTTGGTCTTAAGCTAAACCGGTCTGCATTTACAAGAAAAGATCAGGATGCTGCTTTCTATCTGCAAGTTATTAGCGTTAGTTAAATTACTGTAAAAGCAAAAGATGTATCACAAGCTACTTCTAAGCACTCACTCCTGAAAAAAAAACCACAAAACAAACAGTTACACAACCCTGGGTTGACCCATCAGGAGACAGACCATTAAACGTTGCGCTGTTTCTTGGCAGCACTGTACTTTCCAGGCTACAACCACAGTTCTAAAATAAGTTACCGCTTCTCCAGAGCCACATCAGAAATCCGTTGTGAAGTATAATTTAGCCGTAAATCATGAGAAACAAGCACTATATGCATCCCTCAGAGAAAATCAGCAAGAGACGAGTTGACCTCACAAAAGCTATTCTGTTCAGATAGTGGCAAGTCTCAAAGCAATGTGACTGCAAGTTACGCTTACAAGCTATGGCATGCTGTCAACCCCAGTTATTTGCAGGTGTTAACATACTTGCACCCACCATGCCAAACAAGACACAGCAGTATTCATATTTTACATGAAACACTTGACATTTGTAAATGTCAGGTGGCTGTCTATGGCCATGCGTTGAAGAAAACAAACGGAGTACAAATGCTCGATCCAGCTGCCAAATCATTTGGCTTTATTCTAGTTACTTACAGAACCAATGTGCTCTACAGACCAATCGATAGCATCTTGCTGGATGACAAAGCCAGCACCACTTACACAGTTTGTAACCTATTCTACAACTTTTAAGGACTTTTTCCTAAGAGTATTCATCACTTACCCATATATACAGGAAACATCTATCACTACATCAATCATGTCACAGCACAACTCATATGACTGCATGTCCACAGGGGAACTGTCTGTTGCGATGTAGATTTTGCTGACTACATCGAAGAGAAAAGCTTTTTCAATGCCTGAATTCTTCAGAAAGAGAAAGAATTTGGATGAATTTTAAAAATAACTGCATTTTTAAAATGTCAAGTAGAATTCATACGCTTTCACATTCTTAACAGCAGGAAATGGTTTAAACATAACCAGTTTAGAGGCTTAAGACAGAATCAAGATTTAGAGCATATAGTTTATAAATACAATACCCTTGATTGCCATAGCACATATCACCCTCACCTTCTAGTTGACAAAAAATAGAGCTGGGGACTCAGTTAGAATTCTTTTTAGTTTATTATTTACCAGATCATAATTAAGGTTACATTTTACTGTGCTTCCAGAACTCAAATTCGGCAGTTTTCCTCTTCTGTGGTTCTGTTAACTCCAGAAGAGCCACACGTTCACATCCACCTGATGGACCAGGCTCAGAGACGAGTTACTTCATAGTAGTATGCTGACACTTAAATTTTACACTTGTAGTATCTTGGCAGTTCAGTTTCTGTGTGAGGCAGTTGCCATATAGTTTAACATGCAGAGCAAATAAAGTCAGCTTCTAAACTTATGACTCCATGAGAAGTATCACATTATGGCAGTTACGGGTACGGAAAAGCACCAAGTCAATTGTACCACCCCATTTGTAACTGAGCACTTTGGCAAAGTGCACATGCTCATACTAAGTTCAGAAGCCTTCTGCTGTTAAGTTACCACATATACACTATGGATTTCTGGCAAAGCTTAATTTCTATTTATACACCAGAAGCATTCCTAATCGCTTCTTCCTAGCTAGTCTGAATACCCAAGGCAGTGTCCTGAGGACATCCAGACGATCCTTTCAGCATCAGGGCCACGCTCCATACCCTCATGGCACTGAACAGGGTGAGCATTAACGTGCCCTTTATCTACTGGGCCAGGTTATTACGGACAGTCCTCTGCCAACACAGGAAACAAGGATTCTACAGTAGCATGGGGCGACACATCTGACCTGCACAGCTCCTCTCAATTGCAACTGTTTTTTTCCATGTTGTCCACATGCCTGCAACAGCCTCACAGACATAACTTAAATGACAGGCTACTTCAGCCTTGTCTCTAGGGTGTTATTTTATTTGATTTAAAGTATACAGCAGCAAATTTCTAGGTCACAAAATCTATAAGAAATGCAAATGCTAAAAGAATAAGGGCAAAAGTCTCACAGGCCACATGAAATAGACAATTTAGTTCAAGGCCAAGTTCATATTATGAAAAAAGTCTCTTGCCAGTACAACTACATTAGACTACTAAGTGCCTTAGCAGGCTAATCAGTATATCGTGCTGGCAGAAAACTTCCATATCAACAGTTATAACCAGCCAAACTATACTTTGTCAGTATTTAGAGAAACCTGCACAAAGCACACACCAGTACAATTTAGCCATGGTAAAGAGTTTCTAATGCAGGCAACCGGGCCAGCAGAGTACACCAACATGAGTGCCACCTGAATCTCCCAAGGGCAGATCTAGCCAGCGTTCCTTAGCAGAAGGACTTGCTTTACCGTTCCGCGTATTTCACTCCAAGTTCTGTTAGATTAACACTTACTGATATAAAGATATTTAGTAGATTTTCCAGCGTTGGCAGTTGCGGAATGAGCTTCTGTACCACCTTACTGAAGGCTTCAAATATTGAATGGTCATAGATACTGGTCAAATAAAAGCTGAGATGACGAGGGAGGGAAAAGGAAGAAAAAAGAACAAAGATTCAAGAGTATTTCAGAATTGTAATAGAAATGTTAAAGCTATGTTTTCTAACATTCAGGCCTGATGATTTAGCTGGGATGCCTTTATCACAATATACCTGGCCACTACACCAAGAACCTAATTTCTGAGCGTCTGGAGTAAACATGAAACAGACTTTCCCCGTCCCCAGGAGATGGGAGAACAGAGAGAAAAATTTGAACATGCTTTCACAACACACTTAGCCTGCAGAATGCTTATCACAAAGGTGTTAAATGCTTGACTAGATTTCTTTAAGTCCCGTTCCTGGCCTTCCACTTTGTTCACACTAACACCAAGAAATACTGGCAATATTTAAAGGCTCCAAGAGAATCAAAATAGCAGTAAAAACAGAAAAGATAGCTTGTTTTAAAGGTGTCAGTAGAAGACACCTTAAAAGCGAGCCAAATATCAAGTAAGAGACTAAGCTTTTAAAACCAATCACACTGAAAAGTCAGTGCTAGCCAGGACTAGAAGGCAGGCAGCTTCCCCTCTCATTCCCCTGCTCCTCCAGGTCACATATACAAATTCAGCCTGCTATGCTGAATGAAAAGTATGCAAAAGGACCTTGAATTATCAGCGAGTTTATGAATAAATCTGTTGATTGGAATCTGATACAGTAGCCTGCCTTATTTTAGTCAGCCTAACAGCTGAGGCTCGGCCATAAATTCAGCAGCGTATTTTATAACAAGAGTTCGTGCAATATTAAGAAACTAACAAGGCCTTGCTCTGGTCTGTCCACTATTACATCTAAGAGTCATTAGTCTGTATGCATATCAGCAACAGTAGAATCACATATGCCAGAATCTTTAACTCACCTAAGGTGAAGTTTTTCAAGCCCAGCATCCGTAAGGTCATCATTAGCCCTCTGATGAATATCCCTCTGAGTTTCTATTTTATGGTCATCTGATAAACCATCAACTTTATGAATAAAAACTTCAAAGTTCATTTCTGGGTTGACCTTGTAGGCTTTTGAAACTGTAATGTGGAGTCTTGTTAGAGCTTCCATGTAGTCATCCTGTAAATCAGTTTTGGCAGGAATGAATGACAAGGCTTTATCTCCGATAACTATTCCATTCTGCACAAGAGCAAAATATTTCAGTGCAAGAACTTCACTTCACTTCTGTAACTAAACAGAAGTATGGGAGAAGAGAATACCTTGGAGTGTCAGAAATCCAAGTAGCTTAGATTCTGTTATGTAAATTAAGTTGCATTACCTATACAAGGCTCAGCCACACAAAACTAGGCTTCAGAGCAAAAGGCGGCAGCAATCTCCAAGACGGTCCTAATAACCAGGTGGTCTCCCACGGTGCAATTCCTAAGTTCATTAGAAGCTACCAGATACCCAATAGTACCAGTACTTGAAAGTGAGGTCAGAAGCGTGCTCTTTTTAAATGAACTCCATAGCAGTCAACAGCAGAGGGAAGGGATAATTCAGACCACCTAGCACAGCAGGTTCTCACTATTATTGTAGAAAAGGTAAGTTCAGAGTACTCGCCCCTTTCCGCTCTCTCCACCGGGAGCATATGTTCCAGTCACTTCACAAAACTAAAAACCACACACCAAAAGTCAGATTGCCAACGCATCCTTTCATACATAACAGATGTTTTATGAACTTATTTAAAAATACAAATTATTAGCTTCTCGATCATTCCTCTTGCACACAAAGCAAAAAGAAAACTTCCTCGTGATTCTTAGTGATTTGTATTTACCTGGGCATCAATAACATATATTAGAGCACCTGTTCCTCTGAAGATCATCTCATAATCAAATGTTGGATCAAAAAAGTCCATCTGTCCAGGAAAATCCCATATTTGGAAATTCACAAATGAACTGTTGGAAATATCATCTTTGTAGATCTTGTTGGTACTTTCCAAGAACAAAGTCTCATTGGGAGACATTTTGTGAAACACCACCTGTTAAAAGAACACAAATAATAGTCTCGACTTTATCTTACTAGAAGAGATTGGTAAAAGTTCTGCGACTTGAATCTTACAAATAGGTTTGTCCATTCTGAAGTGTTCAGTTTCCTTTTGGTAAATAGTCAGCTTCCTGCATCAGCTAAGGAAATAACCTACCCTCAACCAGAGCCAAGCAACCACATACAGTTAAACATTTTCACAAGTCTAAATAACACTACTGCCTAAAGACACAGACATCCTAGTTACTATTTCTTCCTTGCGAGTCTAACACAGTATTTTCAAATTCTGCTATATTAGCCAATTCAGATCTGGTATAAAGCCACCATGTTAATTAAGCAATGGCAAGCTTTTAGGAACTACTTCTTTCCAGTCTTAGAGATTCCTAAAGGAAACGTTGCTTTTAGTCTGCTGTCAAGTGCTAAGACAATATAATCAGACTGTTCCTAAACTACAATAAAAATGTACAAAAATAACATCTCAGTTTTAGAGACCCAAGCAGCTACGTAGTTTGCAGTCTATTAACAACTGAATTATGTTTGCTGACCCTCTCAAGTACCCTAAAGAAACAATGAAAGCTTTCACGCTACTTGGTAAACGGTTTAGCTGCAGTGATGAAAAACATACTCATTGCTAGTACTCAAAAAGCCCCGCTGGGATTTTAGCCCTTCCCTGAACAAACAGAACTAGCATGTAACCCCACAGCAAAGCAGCCTGTAGCAAAGGAAGTCAATTTTAACAGCGAACATTGCACTAAAGCAACTCAACTGTATATTACAAAAGTTACTACAAATGTAAGGTGGTCGAACGCTAGGACTGCAAAAAGAAAGATGTTTCCTATATAGCACTTGGTAATTTTTTTTTTTTTTAAATGTTTCACACACTTACAGAAGTCATCCATTGAAGAGACCTAGTGCAACAATCTGTCAAAAAAAATGCAAGACAAACAACTCCACACCCAGCGTAGTTAATGGATTGTTTAGTGAGGTTCAAAGTAGCACGTCAGCCTAGATTTTTAAGGGAAAAAAATTCAGTTCCTCAAGGCAAACGTTTGAGGGAGTCAGGATCTAAATGAGGTTTTAAACAGCAGGACATTTGTATGGAAAAGTAAAAACAGTTCTAGATACATAGCGGCTGTATTGCAAGAACTAGAAATTCCTCAGGGTTTGCAGCACAGTTTTAGAATCATAGAATAGTTTGGGTCGGAAGGGACCTCTAAAGGTCATCTAGTCCAACCCCCCTGCCATGGGCAGGGACATCTTCAACTAGAGCAGGTTGCTCAGAGCCCCGTCCAACCTGACCTGGAATGGTTCCAGGGATGGGGCATCCACCACCTCTCTGGGCAACCTGGGCCAGTGCCTCACCACCCTCAGCGTAAAAAATTTCTTCCTTATGTCTAGTCCAAATCTACCCCCCTTTAGTTTAAAACCATTCCCCCTTGTCCTGTCGCAACAGGCCCTGCTAAAAAGTTTGCCGCCATCTTTTTTATAAGCCCCCTTTAAGTACTGATAGGCTGCAAGAAGGTCTCCCCAAAGCCTTCTCTTCTCTCTAGGCTGAACAACCCCAACTCTCTCAGCCTTTCTTCATAGCAGAGGTGTGCCATCCCCCCGATCATTTTCATGGCCCTCCTCTGGACCCGCTCCAACAGGTCCGTGTCCTTCTTGCGCTGAGAGCTCCAGAGCTGGACGCAGTACTCCAGGTGGGGTCTCACCACAGCAGAGCAGAGGGGCAGCACCCCCTCCCTCGACCTGCTGGCCACACTTCTTTTGATGCAGCCCAGGATACCATTGGCCTTCTGGGCTGCGAGCGCACATTGCTGGCTCACATCCAGCTTTTCATCCATCAGTATCCCCAAGTCCTTCCTGGCAGGGCTGCTCTCAATCCCTTCGTCCCCCAGCCTGCATTGATAGCAGGGGTTGCCCCGACCCAGGTGCAGGACCTGGCACTTGGCCTTAGTAAACCTCATGAGGTTCACACGGGCCCACTTCCCAAGCTTGTCCAGGTCCCTCTGGATGGCATCCCG